GTCCTTCAATCCATGTTCATCTTGCAATCTGAAATGTACTCTGAAGTATTCACTAGCTTTATGTTTGTTGTAATTGTTTTTAGTAAATATTTCTTTAAGTTTTACTGTATGATAATTTAATCATCTTATTAATTTATAACTTCAAGGCTGGACTGACTGTAATGTGTTATGTTTATACTTCAGGAGTCTTGCTAGATGACCTACTTGTTGCTGAAGATCTTGCAGCTGCTGAAACAACAACTGCTGCTTCACATGCTGCTGCAGCTGCAGCTGCATCTAATGTACAAGCTGCACGCTTACCTGGACGGTATGGATTTGTTGATGATAGAACGAGGCAAGCTGCTCCTGAGGCAGCTGCTGATGGTTCTGTTGTTTTGGGAAATCCAGTTGCACCCCCTGTAAATGGGGACATACATACTGATATCAGCACTGAAAATGCCATGCTTCAGGGACCTCGGTACAATAGCTGTTTTCATTTTATTGGGCAAAGTATTTAATGTTACTTGTTTGGCTTCATTCATCTGAAGGACTTTGAACAGGCGAACTGCCAAAGGTGTGGAGTATCTGGTCGAAGCATCAGCTGCAGAAGCTGAAGCTATCAGTGCAGCACTGGCTGCTGCCAAGGCACGGCAGGAGAATGGAGAGGCTGAAGTGCCTGACAGAGACCGTGGGGCAGAGGCTACCCCAAGTGGGAAACAAGCATCTTCCTTGATCAAGCCTGAATCTGCAGGTTCAAATAACGTTACCCCTGGTGGAGTTCGGTTGCATCACAGAGCTGTGCGTGATATATTTTCATTAACAAGGAAAAGTATTCTTCGTACAAGTTTACTTCAAATATTTAGGCAAATTTTTTTTTCTGTTGAATTTTCTCCAGGTGGTTGTTGCTGCAGAGACTGGTGGTGCATTAGGTGGAATGGTTAGACAGCTTTCAATTGATCAATTTGAAAATGAAGGCAGGAGGGTTAGTTATGGGACTCCAGAAAGTGCAACTGCTGCCAGGAAGTTATTAGATCGGCAAATGTCTATCAATAGTGTACCGAAAAAGGTACAGATTCATCTCTACAACAAGCTATCAAATGAACACAAAATAATTTTGTCATATTAACAATATTAGAAAAGTACTTTGCAATTTGTCACTTGGTTGGTCATGTTTATTAATCTTTCATTCATTTCCATTGCTTAGTCAGCGTTGCAGTTTTTGGATTATTGTTTTTAGGGGTTTTCTGTTTACGTTTACATTTATATTTCTCTTTTGTTGGACTGCAAAGCATGCTTGCTTTAGCTTGTTTTCAGATTCATAATTGTTTCTAATGGATTTTCCTCACTTTTACAGGTCATTGCACACCTCTTAAAGCCTCGGGGATGGAAGCCACCAGTACGGCGGCAGTTTTTTTTGGATTGTAATGAAATTGCTGATCTCTGTGACAGTGCTGAGCGGATATTCTCTGGTGAACCAAGTGTTTTACAACTTAGGGCACCTATTAAAATATTTGGTGATCTACATGGACAATTTGGTGATCTCATGCGCCTTTTTGACGAATATGGTGCACCATCAACTGCTGGTGACATTGCGTAAGTTTCATAGCTTCCATTAATGGTTATATGTGAATAATGGGCACGGTTATAGTGTGCATCTCGGTGCTAGTTGCAGATCCGTGTACATAGATGAGGGTGGGCAGTTGCACCCTTTCTTTTTTAAATTACAATTAAATAAGTTAAATTTTCATGTTTTGCAACTTGCTCCTACTGGTCTTGGGTTCGCCACTGATAGTGACAAGATTCATTTGGCAGGCTAATCTAGGTCAACAGGACAGTGATTGTATTTGGGCATGTTTGTTGATGTAAAAGATGTTCAATCAAAACCACAACCAGCATTCTATATTTATCACCATTGTTTTTGTAGTTTGTTTTCACTCGGTGCTTTGTTTAGATCTTTGAGCAACTTTTACATTATATAGATGTCTCATTTGATTTTCTATTCTTTTTTTTTTCTTCCTCCAATTACCTCAGTCTAATCTACCAGAGTGTGGTTCTTGGTTGGGCACAATAATTTGTCTTGCATACCTAGTTAGCAGAAAAATGCATGATTCACATATTCCCCTGCTGCAATCATATGGGGGAAGTCATTGTATTGTACATTAAAATATGGAAGAAGGTTGTTCCTGGATTGGAAACTATGACCAACCTGTCACCAAAGCCCAACCTTACTACAATTATATAATGCATTTTTCTAGATTTTATTTCATTTTATTTTTGTATATAAATTACTCCAGCTTACTAGATTGTTTGTTTTAATGGAAATTAACAAGAAAATTGGGTGTCTATGTGAGTTTACTGTGACAAATGGAACAGATAAGGAGAGGAAAGAATATAAAACTATTTTTAATGCTGAAAGATTTCTTGCAGTGATTGATTGATTAATTTTAAATGGGGCTGCACTAGAATCAAATCAATTGCACAACTAGTGTGATTTGGATCTAGGAAAATTTTCTTGGCTATGTACACGAGCATTAATTGTAGTTCACCCAGAGCTTGTAATTGTCTTTTCATGGACACAAGTTTAGTAAAAATACAGGAGTTAGATTATTATAGAACAATATTTAATCTCATTAGTACAATACATCCTCTAATTTTTTTCTTTTATATCTAACATTAGCAGGGCTATTATAATACTCGGCGTTTGATTTTCTCTATTGCTAATATTGTATAAATGACTATCAGATATATCGATTATCTATTCCTGGGAGATTATGTTGATCGTGGACAGCACAGCTTGGAAACTATAACCCTTCTTCTTGCTTTAAAGGTAGTCTTGATTGTTTAGGTTGTCTTTCTCTGTCTTTTTGTGAAGTTTGATGACCTCATATTTATGCATAGTTTTGTGAATATAGGTTGAGTATCCCAACAATGTTCATCTAATACGTGGAAATCATGAAGCTGCAGATATTAATGCACTCTTTGGTTTCCGAATTGAGTGCATAGAGAGGATGGTAAGGAATTTAATGTACCGGAAATTATGTCTTGTTTATATTGAGTTCATCAACAATCATGTTTATTGATCAGGGTGAGAGAGACGGAATCTGGACCTGGCATCGGATAAATAAGCTGTTTAATTGGCTTCCTCTAGCAGCCTTAATTGAGAAAAAAATTATTTGCATGCATGGTGGTATTGGTCGTTCAATAAATCATGTAGAGCAGATTGAAAACATTCAGCGTCCAATTCCCATGGAAGCGGGATCAATTGTGCTTATGGATCTATTGTGGTTAGTGCATGTGTGCTATTGCATGTTTGTGACTGTGCTTCGCTTTTCTTGTTGATAACATCATGAATTGTTTCCAGGTCTGATCCGACAGAAAATGACAGTGTGGAAGGACTGCGGCCAAATGCTAGAGGTCCTGGATTAGTTACTTTTGGGGTGAGTGCTCCTTACCTGTTTGTCATTCTAGAAATAATATTTCAATTTTCTTCTGTAATTTGGTTGTTTCTGTGTTTGTAGATGATATAAAAAAGTAATATCATAATAACTTTTTATGTAATAGAATTTAATAATTCTAGAAACCCTTGGCAAGACATTTCTAACAAATGCCGACACTTGGTATTTTCCACATGGTCTTGTTGAACGGCTATCGTACTTTTTGACTTAGCTGATATTCTTCTTGAATATATGCGGTTGTGATTATTTAATTGATTTGTTACTTCAGCCTGATCGGGTGATGGAATTTTGCAACAACAATGATCTTCAACTGATTGTTCGTGCACATGAATGTGTGATGGATGGGTTTGAGCGTTTTGCCCAGGGACATTTGATCACGCTTTTTTCAGCCACAAATTATTGTGGTATGTTACTGACTTCTGTATTACACTTTAGTACTCCATCGATCATGTTCTCTTCTAAATGTTGGCACTGCTTGCTCCAAAAGGTACCGCAAATAATGCCGGGGCAATATTAGTTTTGGGTAGAGACCTTGTCGTGGTTCCTAAACTGATTCATCCATTGCCACCTGCAATTTCCTCACCAGAAACGTCACCAGAACGTCACATTGAAGATACATGGATGCAGGTACTCTCTCAAATGTTTCTTAGTAAATAGTTGTGCTGTGTTGCAAATAATTTTGAGCTGATGTGATTTTACAGTATTCTGGTGCTTTTATTGTAAAATAAACCCATGTTCATTGATGCATACAGGAGTTGAATGCTAATAGGCCACCAACACCAACTAGAGGCCGCCCCCCAGTAACGAATGACCGAGGTTCGCTGGCTTGGATATAATGATCGATCAGTAAAGAATGTCCATAATATTCATGCCCTACTGGCTCGTGCGAATCAGCCTTGTTTTTAGTGTTTTGTAAATAGCATGATGCCATTTACGGGAGTCTCTGAACCTGTGAACTTAATCCCCGCAGAGAAGTTTTGGTTCTCACTACTCCGTCAGCAGGCCTTGATAAGATACACGTTCGGTATGCAAGGTTCGAAATCCTCAGTTCCCCCACCCGTTTGTAAATTGAGCAATAGGTTACGAGATCAAGTTTATGGTTCTGTCATGGAGGCTATTTTTGTCTTCAATTCTTACATATTTTTTTACTGCCCTTAGGCTATTGTTGAGGTTTTGTTTATCAAGAGGACAGGAGGGTTTTATTTTTTTAATGTGATGGTGAGATATATATATAATATATATATATATATATCAGAAATCTTCTTTGGAGGTTCATGTATCATAGGTGTTGCTCTGTATTTTTCATCTTTGTACGATTAATTTTTGCGTGGAACCATATTGCCCTACGAAGAATGTGAATTTTGATAATAGATTTTGCACTGTTAACCTCTTTCTTTACAGTTGTGCTTTTGATACTTAACTATTGCGGCGCCTAGTTGCCAAATGAACGAGTTTTCAACTTACAACTGACAGTTGTTATCCAGACATGATACAGAAAAATAGAAAAATCTTCAACAATTGTATTGTCACTTAAGTCTTTCATCAAACTGCATGCTGCAACGTGGATTTGTCAAATCAAATTCTCCATAAACATTTCAATGCTTCAGTGCGGATGACCAGTACTCACAAGTTTCTTTTTCAAATTTAATAACTCCTATGTGTCAGTATCGGTAAGTAACGACCTAGCATCCCACCAAAAAGGTCGCTGGAGGTCTACATTCCATTTAACATAAATCTTTATACAGGTATCAATCAAACCGATACATAAGATACCCTGCTTGAATGAGTTCTCTCGAACTCCTTGGTTTAATTGATAGCTGTCATCATCTTCTAACAAATGGAAGAATCCATAACCCTAACCTCTTTTTACAGGCCTTTGAACGTAGGATTTGTTGGGGTCCTCGGTCTTAAGCTTCGGAGGGCGAATTTCCCCTTTCTTATTCTGCAAACATACAAAATGGTACACATAGTTAGAGTAGTTAATCTTAGCTCCAAGGTACATGTCAGACAGAATAGTTATGATATATCTCACCTTCTTTCCACCCTTCATAAAATCTCTCCAACTGGATACCTGATGATGAATTGCATTAATTCATATATTTTTTATAAGAAAAAAAGTACGGCATGCCAAGAAAATTCAGGTTATTTTTTAAACAGATGACGAAAAAGCAAGATAATATTTAAACAGTTTCCGGGCAAGTCGGCAGGTCGAGGCTTAAAATGCAAGAATCCAAACAAGGCATCCGAATAAAATTCAGATTATCTCTTAAACAGACTATGCAAAGCTTAAGAGCCAGTAAAAGATAGGTGTAGGCTTAAAATGCAAGAATTAAAAAAGGAAACCTTGTATCTATGCATCACTTCCCCCAGCGGTGGAGAGACTGCTTGTGACTAAAACTAGTAATCACTGCTACGTCATTTAACTATTTTCTACTGTGTCCCCAACGATGGTGTTTCTTCTGTTAAAAAATTCTTCATAAATATCACATTACTTTACCATTTCCTAATATGCTGACATACTGGCACATTACAGATAAGTAAATTACAGAAAACCAGAAGTATATGTAGAACATGAACAGAATATTGCCAAATTCTGGAATACTTTATAGCTTCAGTGTAGATTTCAAAGGAACACATCAGAAAAATGCTTTAGCCAAAGGTTTGATGCATAAAATGAAGTATAAAGATGAAGTCATAGAAAACTAACCCTCTTCTCTCGTGTTCCTTCCCATTCCTCCTCGTGTTCACGCTTTCTTTTCCACATTTCCTTTTGTTCCTCTTCATCCTTTTTCAATCTGCCTTCCTCCTCAGATATCTAAATAACATTAAATAACTTAAAAGGAATAAATTATCTCCAATTGAATCCGCTGACTTGTTACTGCATTTTCAAAGACATGAAAATTTGGAAAGGGATGATTAGAGCATACCCTCATTTGCATTTTTCTTCTTCTCCATTCTTGTTCTGTTAATAGTTCACGAACTTTGACTTTCAGCTCCTGCTGGAATTCCTCTGACTGTTCATATTGTTTATCATATTTTCCCTGCAAAAAAATAAAATGAGTTTTTTAAAAAGCAAGGGTATAATGTCTTTTAACAAATAGTAATAGACTAAGTTTCCAATATCATAGTCTGGTAATCATAGCATTGAGTGTGTAATCAGATCACTAGGGAGGCACAAACATACACACACCACCAATACGCGACACACTTTCACAATGTGAGACTATTCTAAAACTCTACGTTGCAAACTCTGGTGTGAAAGATCTTAAAATTGCAAAAGAACCCTAGTAAAATTATACATACCTCTTCTACCAGAGACTTAATTTTTGAAGCTGTATCTTTCTTGAGCTGTTTCTTCCTCTTTGCTCTAAGTTCTTCTGCAGTTCATATAAATGAAAAAAAAAAGATAATTCTTTTCTTTCATATGTAACTAGCTTTCCATGAATAAGCATTTCTTCTACAGAGTGACCGCATAAAAAGAAAACACAACAAAAAGAAAGCTCAATCCCAAGTCACAAGTTTGGGGTTTGCAATGAGGGGAAAACCCTATTTGTTAGAGTAAAGATAGTACACCAGATATCACAATAATTCAGAACATGCTACAAAGTTGAGTGGAAATAAGAAGCACCTTTGAGACACATATTAAGAACTAGATGCCAATCACAAAAAGACAAGTAAAACTAACCTTTGGCTGAATTAACTTGGCTAAGAAGGTAATCCCTTTCATTTTGATCCAGTAATAACTGTTGAGCTTTTGCTAACGCTGCATTCATTCAAGTAAATACCACAGCAAACATTTAACAAAAAAAAATGCAATCTGCCGTTTTTCTGAACCCTATAGCTGAAAAACTACTTCTTTTAGATCATTACGATTGAAATCAAATACAAAATACAGAATCAATTTGATCAGACAAGGAATTAACAAAAAGGATCCAGCTTTCAACTCTCCAATATTGTAGTTGTAACCAGTAAAACGGTAGATATCGAACCAAATAGCAGTTGAATGATACATAAAATACCAATGGTAGTAGGTTAAGCTGAAGTAGATACAGAAGATAATTCAAAGTAAATAATAACAGTATCTACTAGGAAAAAAAGTTCAAGTACAAGAGTATGCTGAAAGAACTGTTTATAAATTCACAGTAGTATGTATGTCCCCTGAAGCTATACCAAAGTAACTGAGAAAAATGATGCATTCATACGGCACAAACTGTTACTTGAAATTTTGAAGCCTATTATCCACATATATGCCAAGGAAAGAAGTAACCTCTCCCAATATGTCAAAGCTTTTGGTCAATAATTATTCAAAAAGTAACATTACAAGTCTTGGGTTGGGACTCAAGCTATTGTCCCTAAATAAGTTATGTCTTTGATTGAAGAGGTATGTAGAACTCTCCTACAGCTTTACCAATTTATGATGTATGATCACAGCAATAGCTTTCAGAACTCTGGATAGATAAAAAATGTTCTAAACAATAAGTAACAAAACATAGTTCTATTTGAAATGAATGGGGCACAACTCAACCCCAAAAGCTAGTTCAAGAGAGAAAAAATGCTTAGGTCTAATGCAAAGGCTACTTTTTCGATATTCCTAGTTTATGTGGGAGATCTTAACACAACTCCGACACCACTGGACATCTACATGTGGCTCAATATCAAGATTGATATGCTCCGTTACCATACTAGACATAAACTAGGCTAGTCACGGGGATGAGGAAAGTCTGTCTTATAAGGACTACGATGGTCATGCTCATAGAAAATATGGGACAATTAGCACGTTCAAAGAAAGATAAACAAGTAAAATATTTAATTCTACCGAGGCTATCACAAAGCATGTATTCATGTACCTCCAAAAGCTTCCTTTGCTTGTGGATGCTTACATTTGTCAGGGTGAACCATCAATGATAACTACATAAGATTGGAAAAAGTATGTTACGAGAGAAGCCAGCAGAAGGGTTGAAACAGTCCTTGGTACGAGGAAGACATTACCTTGCGGTACTGTTTTTTCACTTCATCAATTGATGAATCAAATGATAGGTTTAGATATTCAAATGGATTCAGCTTAAAACAAGAGAGAATCCTGTGTAGAAAATAAAACCAAGAGAATGTTGATTATAAAGTTGAAACAATAACAAAATTTCTTGTTTTCAGCATAAATATGTGGTAATAACGATTAAGAACCAAGACTATCTTTAACATTGCAAATTGAAAAATATTTTTGATTAAAATTCACAACTACACAAGCCTGCCCCCTTTTTCAGCCATTGTTCATCATTAATGAACTTTCAATTACTGATTTCAGCTCCATCCCAAGGCCTGACTGCATGTATGTTACATCTTCCCTCAAAGATAATACTCAATTTATTCCAGTCAGTAACGAGCACAACACATAGAATGCTAGCATTACACTTCAAATAATTCTCTCAAGTTGCAATCAAGGGCCAATCATACACTCGCGCGAATGAATTTGTTTCTTCCCGGCAAAAATACATTACTGCAGGCAAACGTTGCTCAGTTCCTGCTGATACTAAAATTCGCCAGTTTTACGGAAAAATATGACAACAATATCGCATCGAAAAACTGAAATTAAAAAATGAAAGCAAAATAAAATGTCAATCACGTATCTCCATCCTCACGAAGACGCATATCACACGTTCCAACAAACCAACCGACAAAGTTTTTGGATCACGCAAAAATCTCAGCTGGAGAAGCTTCGGCGATCCAAACCAAAAGAATTTGAAAAGAAACCACTCCAAAAACCACAACATAAATTCTCCAACAGATACAATAATTAAACAGAAACCACTATCCAGAAACCCTAATCATAACCTAACCTAAACATATAACAGCACACGCATACATGCAACAAATTACACGAAATAAATAGACATTTGCAGAAAATTAAATTCAGAAGCATACAATCACACAGCGGAACATCCTCACAAAAGAGAGAGATAAGTACCTGAGGACTTCGTTGTCCCTCTCAACTTCGCTAACTTCGGCGAAGAAGTTTTTGAGAAGCAAATCGTCGTTGACGGTAGCCGCGTGGTTTATGTCTCCCATTTTTGCTTCTGCCAAATTCACTATTCAATTCAATTTCAGCTTCGAAAACGAGATTCGCCGATCGTAACTTTCAGAATCCTCTCAAACCTCTCTACTCACGAACCACAGTTTTTGACGCCGTGTGTATGGCTTACCATTACATAATATTCTAGAGTAAGTGTTGGTTTTAATTTCGCTTTATTCCTGGAAAAAAAAAGATTTTATTATCTTATCTTACTTCAATAATCAAACTACGCTTGCTATGTCGTATCTCACTAAATCGAGATGTCGTTTTAGGACTGGTTAAATTTAGTATGAAGTGATTATAAAAAAGTGATAAATTTTTTTCTCCTATAAAAATACTTACTTTGAATATTTCTTATAAATGTCATTTTTTTATTCTATTTCCGAAAAAGAAAACACATTAATGGCTGGTGTAATTGTATCAATATTACCCATTCATATCTTTGAATATAATTGATCTCCAAAACATTACCCATTTACCATGGAAGTGTAGTTTGTTATACTGAGAGTAAAAAAAGAAAGCTCTAAAGGAATGGAATCTAGGCCCATTGAATTTCGGCTATGAGTGGTTCTTATCTTGAAGAGTGTTTTCTTTCTTAAGTTTATTAAGGAAAATGTTGTTTTAACCATTCATTTTTGTCAACTTTTTTACTATGTCAAGTGACGGCATTTGATTCCAAATAATATTTTTAGAAATGAAATCTTATGGAGAGATGTTTTGTGGGTTCTGAAATCTCTCTATCTTAAGTCTCTCTCACCATTGTTTCTTAGTTGTTCGTTGTTCTCATTAACCATGGTGACGTCCATCGAAATCTCTCTTCTCTGTTTGTCTTCTTCATCTCTCTCTTATCTCATTTTGTTTTCGCATTTTTGCGTTGTCTCCTTCTCACAATTTGCTCTTGTTTTCTCATCTATTAGGACCTCTCCTAACGTTGCTCTTGTAGCATTTTGCCTCTCTAACTCTCGTGTTCTTCATCAATGAGAAAGATGTCTCCTTTCTCCAAATGATTTTTTTATTTTTATTAAAAAATAGACTCAAAAAGCTTTCTAATGACTACTAATTTGTAACTTTCTCATCTAAAATAAGAAACATGAAACAATAATTTTAAAGTAAACTCATTTAGGATGGGAAATTAACTGCATCTACTAATGTGGTCTAAAAATTATGAGTTAATATTCATTTGAAAAATTTGAGTCTATATTCCAACAAAACAAAAATCAACTTATTTAGGGTTCGGTGAAGAAAGTTATGAGCAAAACCACCAGCAAAGGTCAGAGGTGGCAGGAAGTTAACTTTAAGGAATTAAAAGATGTCCAAAAATCACAAATTAGTAGTCATTGGAAAGAGTTTTGAGTCTATTTTATAATAAAAAAAGAATCACATCATTTGAAGGTCTGTGGAAAAAGTTATGATTAAAATAGTCAACAAAGGTCAAAATTGACAACATCTTATTCACTCAAATTGCCTTTGGGAGTGACATTCTCACTGCAAAATTAATTTTTTGTACGTGTAATCGTTTACAGGGTCATTGTAATCGATTACAAGGGACTGTGTGACCTACACTTGTTTGAGGGCTTCACCTAACTTGGTCATTACACCAACATTGGGTCTTTCCTACTACCCAAACCTCAGTTTTCAAGTTTACTTACACTTAAACACTAAAAAAAAGTTTCATCCATTAAAGAAATATGAAAAAAGTACTCAAATTGCCTTTGGGAGTGACGTTCTCACAGTTGGGTACTACAGTACAAATTTTTGTACAAAATCAAATTTTTGTATGCGTAATCTTTACACGGCTATTGTAATCGATTCCAAGGGACTGTGCTTAGCTATGAGAACGTCACTCCCCAAAGTCAATTTGAATGAGTCAACTTTGACATTTACAGATTATTTTAATCATAACTATTTCCACATACCTCCAAATGTGATTTTTTTTATTAGAAAATAGACTCCAATATTTTCAATGACTACTAATTTGTGATTTTTGGACATCTAAATAGGTGCAATTAATTCTTAAAGTTAACCTTTTATATATTTTTGCCACCTATGACCTTTGTTGGTTGTTTTGCTCATAACTTTCTGCACCGAACTCCAAATGAATTGATTCTTGTTTTGTTGGAATGTAAGCTCAAAGAGCTTTCAAAGAACTACTAACTCATAATTTTTAGACCACTGTACTAGATGCAGTTAATTTCTCAAAAATAATGTTTTTCTAAGTTTTCATGTTTCTTATTTTAGATGAGTGAGTGACTGGGTATAAAAACAATGTTTTTCTAAGCTTCCTAAATGAGTTTACTTTTAAGTTATTGATTCATTTTTCTTATTTTAGATGGGTGAGTGAGTTTAATGGTCATTTAGGTGCTTTCATGTAAGTTAGACGAGGTCCATGAGTATTGCTGGTAATTTTTTGCCCTGGTATACAGGGTCTTGTGATGGGTTATCAGAGACTAGAGGACCATTTTGAAAGAATGGCGACCCCACAATTGCATCAAAGCAAACAAATATTTCACCTTATTAAAAGAATACCTAAAAAAATTTAACAACAAAAAGCCACAAACTCAAACGACAACTGCAAAAATGAAAGGGCAAACCGAAAACGCATATAATGAAAGGGAATAACCGTATACCTTGCTCAAACCAACAATGTCACACATTACACAATACCGTCAAGGGAATGAAACCAAAAAGGTCAAAACTTTAAGACAAACAATAGATTTTGGTTCGACCCAAGAAAATGAAGAGGTAGAAGAAAGGTTGGAGAGAGAATGGAGAACAAGATAAATGGAGAGAGAACGAAAAAAATAAAAAGTATGAAGAATAGAAAGAAAAGAAGAATATTTTTGGATCAATATAATTTGAACCCTGAATCTTTTTCCATGTCAACTTTTTATAAAAGGAAATTATTTCAAATGAATCAATCAAATGTTGACATGTGACGTTGTAAAAAAGTTTGCAAAAATGAATTGTGAATATAATTTTAAAATCCTAATTTTGATTTTGTTAACAGAAAAAATTGTTAGTTAAATTTATTACACCCCTCGTTATTAAAAAAATTATTATTTATTAGTTTTATACAAAATCATCCATCAATATCATGTATAGTATCAAACTCAAAATGAATATGTGTTTTAATAAAATTAAATATAAAAAACTAGATCATGTTCAATATCACTTGCAAATCTTTGATGTATTTAATCTTGATTAACCTCAGGAGTGGAGAGGCAAACATATCAGATGACAGATCACGTTGTTCCCAAAACATAAGACCAATTTCGAAATCCCGTTGGCCTATATTTTGCAAAAGGAAAGAGACTAAAAAAAACATGATAAAAATTTAAAGAAGACGAGACAGTGGAGATGGTCAAAGAAAAACTTTGATTACGTAATTGTTTGATAGCACAGACAACATAAATATAATTCATGAAACTGTCCCAAGAATTTTTTTTTTCTCTGATCTTACAATTACAAACAAAAGTATTAAAACTCTCTCACCATCCAACGAGTGGAGCTAGGTGGAGAGAAAATGCTACAGCAGCAAACAGTATTTGGGTTGAATAACAAGTTTTGAATTAGAAATTAGACGAAAACAGGATCTGAGGTCAAGTAGCAATGCAATAAGGTTCCCAGAAGAGAAAAGACCTCTTAGAATCCTTGCAACTGTTGAAGTTGTTCTCTAAGGAAGAGTAACTGTTGCGGTGAAAGGTAAATGTTTTAGGAGAAGGTTTTGGGGTGGGCTTGGTTTTGCAATAGTATTCATAAGCACTGAAAGCACCCGAAGACGAGGGAACAATCCGAGCCCTTGGCCTTGGTGGCAGAGGACCATGTTGTGCCACATCAACATCCTTAAAATTGACCACATCGTTGAACTTCTCCGACCATTTTGGACTTCTATAAGAATCATCTACTCCACTTGGTTTGTTCATCATTACTGCTAACCCAATCCCACTAGACAACAACATGGGTGCATTTTCTTGCTCCTTCACACGACTCTCAAACTCCTCTGCCTCCACACGACCTTCCTCAAACTCTTCTTCTGCTTCTTCTTCAGACATTTCAGCAAAAGTGAGGACAAGACGACCATTTTGTCGTTCGGCAGAAAAATTGTTCTGAGAAGGAACAGACACAGCTTGTATGAACAACCTTCCGTTGTCACGGTGGGATCGCATGCGAAGTGAAGGGAGTGGCGGAGGAAAAGAACGAGAAGTTATTTTCACAGCATGGTTTTGTTTTGGCACGTGAAACTCTTCCCCGTGTGAAAGTTCCACTTTCTCTTTTTCTTCCTCTCCTTTTTCTTCCTTCTCTTCCTCCGAATCCTCTGTCTCAGATGGTGAATAAGAAGAAAACCCATCTGAGCCAGTTTCGGATCCCAGACTCTCCGTGCATATCTGGAGACTCTTTTCACTCAGACAGCTCTTTGACCTTTTCACAAGTGGATGAACGTAAGGAGGGATTGTTAATTTGGAGCTTTCTTCGTTGGCTTTCTTCGACAAAATCGAACTCCATAAGTCTAACTCTCCCGATTTCTCCACATTCTCCTTCTTTTGAATCGCCTCCCAAATTTGGCACCGGCTTTGTTTCATTTCTTCGCTGTTGTCATCTTCTGAAGAAGATGACGAGTCAGCAGCAACAGTGGGTTCTGTGAATGAGCGAGAGATTTCTTCTGCGGAATTGATCTTTTTCATGGGAGAAAACCCATTTTGAGAAAGCCATTTCTTGGAAGACATGTCTGCGGATAGAGTGCGTCGAAAAGAAGTGACAGAATCGTTGTTAGATCCCAAAATGGTGACAATGCCCTGCTTCTGCACCAGAAGAGTCTCTTCGTCTATTCTCCGAGACTTATGTAATTGGATTTTCTTGCTCGTACAAGTTGACATCTTTTGCACAAAAGACACGCAGAAGCACTTATCTGCATGGAAGGCAAGAAAAACTGATAAGAAATCGCCAAACCTGAGAATCAGGTAAACTAAACCAGTGATGACAGTAGAATTTGAAGTTACATATTTGGTGCATGCATGCGAATTTCAAGAAAAATAATCAAATGGGAAGCTTAAAAAACTAAAAAAATAATTTTTTATAAGATGAACAGTTACCTGAGAGTGTGAGTTGCGAAGAGAGTAGAAAGGGTGAGGGTTGTGACGATTGAGATGATGTTAGAGGAATGGTTGGGGTTGATGGTACTGAAAATAGAGGAAATGGGGGGTATTTATAGGCTGCCAAAAAACTTCTTCAACCGTATCCCTTACGCCACCGTGAAAAGTTCCCTTTATTGCTTTCCTTTTTTATTCTTTTCTATATTTTCGTTATTTTTCATTTTATAAAAAAGGTGTCATGCAATCCAACTCCCCTTAGTTCATAATTTTGCTGTTTAGCCATTAAAGATGTATTGACTGTTACACCACTAAGACGTGAACTAGAAAGAGAAGGTATTAATACTTAATTTAGAGAATACTAACTTTTTTTTAACAATTTTTTTACAATATATTATATATTATTATTTTATTGATTTCAAACGGACAAATCACATATTACTTATATACTGTTATAAAAAAATTGTTAAAAAAATATTTTCCTAATTTAAAACGTAATTAAAATTTGAATATTTTTTTGAGGTGAGTCTCGTTAAATCTTAAAATATTATCTCTTATTTATATCAATACTTACTCAAACTTAAATTACAACTTATAAATTATTTATTCTCATTAAATACGGTTAAAAGTCACGTATCAATTAAAAATAAAATCAATTTATAATATATAATTGAGTATAAACTTTATTTTATAAACATTAACATTAAATGTTTTAGAGTTGAATTAAATTTAAAATTCTTATCAAATCATCCATTAATAATTTATAATAATAAATGAGTGCAAATTTTAATTTAGAAGTATATACAGATATAAGTGTCGTCAAACTTTATATAAATAATTTAAGTTTGGTGTTAGAAAACAGTAAAAAAAAGTTTTGTAAGACATTATTTATAATAACATGTACGAAGTGTGATCCACTGAACTGAAACCAATCATCACATATTATCTAACCTTGTATCACTACACAATATATAAGATTTATATCATACTTTCTCACATAAAAGAAATGGACATATCAAGAATTCAACTTCTACAAATTGTTCAATAACAACTAGTTAAAAAAAAGGCTAATTGACAATAACTACTGGATATATAGTGGTACCATTAACTTAGTCATACGAAGTCTAATCAGTGTGAAATCTTTAACCATTGGGAATAATATAAGCGGGGTACAGCTGAACAAAACCTGTAGAGCAGTGAATACATTAATCCTATTGGATTATATGGAATTTGCTTAGCCAACAGCGCATTTTTTGCTTCTTCTGTAACTGGGTTTATAGATATTAATTAAGGGAGTGTATGGCCACGTAAACAACTTGTATCAGATTTTACAATAAGATAATAAAGTCATATGTGTTAAACTCTAGTTATGTTAAAAAATAAATTTTAAATTTAAATTAACTTTTTAATTGTAAATTGAGATTTTTATTCATTTATTTATATTAAAAATTAATCTTATTATTTATTAATATAAATTTTTTTATTAAAATAAATAAAAACTTATCATTTTAATATTATATTAATAATTAAATTTTAAATTTAATTCAATCATAGTAATCAACTTATAATTTTCATCCTATCAACGTGTAACCTAAAAAAGTTGAATATAACCTCTATAGATGCAAGTTGCTTAATCAACTTGACGTCAGACGTGAAAAGTATTAGCACGAAAACAACTGTGTATTAACCGTTCACTGCAGTATCAGTCAGAGTCCACACATGGATATGAGTATTTCATAGGTTGTTTTTATTGGTGTCACTGTTTTGATATATTAAAAAAGGTTAATATTTTAAAATTTCAAAATCAATATATTATATTGTTGTTCATTTATTTCTATATGAATTATAATTTTGAAATACTAATTAAGCATCTAGGCATACCATCTTATGAAATCAAGATATGTCAATGTGAACCGAAAACCTTCGGACACAATAAAATTAATCAGAAAAGATCACGAAAGTTTAGATATATTCTTTCACATTGTAAGAACAAATAAGAGTTCATGAAAAGTAAAGTACCCACCTACATTAAAAAAAATATATATTTTCCTTACACATTTATAGAGGTATGATGTGATCGAACGAAAAAAAAGAGAGAGGAGTCTAATAAATATCTATTACATGAATTTATATTTATATGTATAATGCAATGTCGCTTTTATTATGTTATTCAACAAAGTGACCTACTGGTTTAGTATCATAAACTTACTTTATTAGGAGGGTAAAAAGCTATTCCATCATGCAAAAACAAGAACACTCCATGATTGGAAAATGACGATTACATTGGCACCCACCAAAAAATATTCATAATTAAACTTTCACATCCCCTTTACATTATCTGTTCTTTGATCTTGACTGAGATCAGAAAAAAAAAGTAGGATTAAAAAATCCAAAATTTACAATACCAAAATATCAAACAAAAATATGTAAATCTTTTCTTTTTATATAAAAAAATCATTTTGGTAATATTAAAAAACTACAATTAATTTCTAATTTATCATAAATTTAAGTATTTTTAATTTGTTAAAACATTATATACAAACATTTTAATCAAATTAATATAAATTTTATAAGAGATTTCAATAAACTTTATTATTTGTTTATATGAGAAAATTATCCAATAAAAATATTTAATTTTGTTGTATGAAAAATTCACATAAATCAAAACTAAAATATCTCAATTTAAAAAATTTAAAATATAAATTTATGAATAATAAGTTTATAGATTTATTTATTATCTGTTTATTTATTTAATAACATATATATATAATAAATATATATTTAATAGTTATTAAAAAAATTGCGTGAATTTATTAGAATTCATATAATATTTTCATATTTTGATTAAACTTGGTACATTTAATATATTAGAATTTATATTGTTTTTTCTAATATATTTAAGATTTTATTACAATATATTACATACTCTTTTATTAAATACTATGAATTTTATTTTCTAAAGAATTAATAAAATTAATAAACAGATTATAGTATTAAACTATATATTATATATTTTAGGGTTAAATATGTTTTTTCTAAATTATCAAACGATTTTGATTTTCGTCCCTCTTCAAAAGGTTTGTTCATTTTAGTCTTCTTAGTTTTGAAATTCTCATGTTTAGTCCTTAAAATTTGACGGCGTTAAGTTTTCTTTGATGTGACAAATGACAAGCCCACGTGGACTGCCAGTTTCCCTTGTATGTGTGCCATGTTGTTTTTTTTTTTAAATGTCACCAACCCAGAAACACTTACCTTTTCCAAACAGAAACCCTAGTCCTCCTCTGCCGTCAGCCATGTCGCGCCGCCGCAAGACCGTCATTGCCAAAAAGCTGCCATCAACGCCACGGATCCTTCAAGCTCACATCAGATCACCACCATGAGCAACCATTCGCCACCGTCGCGAGCCTCTACAACCCTCCATCATCAGATTGCACAAACAACTCCCAAGTCGTCGCGAGTTCAGAGCGCGAGCATCCTCCTGCGCGAGCCATCCTTCATCGTCCTTCACCGTCAATGTCGTCGCAGAGACCACCCAGAGCTCCTTCTTCGCGTCACGTTCAACCTCCTTCCACAACCAAAGGGGAAAATCACCAACAACATCCAACAACATCATCTTCTTCCCAAATCACTACCAACACCGCGAGCTCTAACGCCACCAACAATCATCTTTCCGCCGCGCACAAGCCTTCAACCTGCCATCGTTAGCGTCGCCCTCCACTCCTACTTCTCCCAGATCTCCCACATGCTCGCTGGTTCAAGCTTGACTTCTGCCAATTCACCACCGCCTGGACCGGTTCTAATTCCCGATCATTTCGATATTTGCGCTGCCAAAGGTGAGAGAATCCCTCTCTCCTGGGAGATTCTCCATTTCTTCCTATCGAGTGATTAGGTAGTTGTATTGACTTTTTTGATGGAATTATGTTGTGCTTCGGATGACTATGTGTGTGTAGCTTGTTTGATCATAATCTTGCAATTTCAATGTTGTGTTTACCTACGGTTGCTTTTACTGGAGATTTCAGTTTGTACCTCTGATTATTATGGTGGCCTGTGCTCAAAAGATGGATGAAAATGGAGACTTAGGAGAGGGAACAGTGGTGAGTGTGAAAGAGTTGGGCAGAAGTTTTAAGAGAAAAAGAAAAACAATGTGCACAGGAAGCTGGCAGCCCACGTGGGCTTGTCGTTTGTCACATTAAAGAAAATTTAACACTGTCCAATTTTAAGGACTAAACATAAGAGTTTCAAAATTAGGAGGACTAAAATAAACAAACCTTTCAAACAGAGACGAAAACCAAAATCTCTTGATAGTTTAGAGATTAAAAACATATTTAACCCCATATTTTATTTAATAATATAATAATAAGTATTATATATAACAATATTAATTTAAATATAATAAAACATAAATAATATTATTTAAAAAATTAATTAAAATTTTATAATAAGAGAAAACCATTTAACTTTGGTCTTAACTCCCTTAAAAAGGAATTAAGGCTTTTGACGGGAATAGTGGGCCATGAATTCATAACAAGGAGAAAAAAAACGGGGTGTTGCTCCCTCCACCACCACAGCCTTCTCCCTCCACCTCCTCTTTACTATTTTGCCCCTCAGTAAAATTTTATTTTTAGAATTATTGTTTTTTAATTTTACTCATTTATAACATATTTCACTGATAACCTACGTAGTTCCTTGTATGAGTAAAATATTTTTCTGCAAAGCTCAGTGATCGTGAAAAGAATTATCAAGCAATCTTCCTCTTGCTTTCGGTGCACTACGTGGTGCAATGCGTTTGTGGTGTAATGTGCTTGTCGTGGTTCCTCTCCAGGTACGTAGTCATAATCCTTCCAATAATCCTAAACCCTAAACCTTAAACCCTTCCAATAATCCTTCCAATAATCCTTCCAATAATCTTTCCAATAATCCTTTCAATAATCCTTTAACCCTAAAACGTAAAATTAAAACAAAGCTTAAACGGAGGACATCCTTCAACGGATGTCATCCGTTTAAGCTTTGTTTTAATTTTATGTTCTGTTATTATTTTATTAGATATTTTAATATTTTGATTTATTATTTTTGAATATCTTTTTAATGTATTTTAATAATGTATATTTATATTAGTTTATATTTAAATATTAAAATATTAAAATAATAAAAATAAAAAATTTTAACTTTAAGGATATAATTGGAATTA